AAGGATTCTGAGGTTCCGTCTAACATACTTTGGATATGTTGTAAGGAAAGACCGGTCCTTGGAGAGGGACATCATGCTTGGTAGGGTGGAGGGACGGCGCAAGAGGGGAAGGCCCTCTATGAGGTGGATTGATTCAATGACTGGGGCATTTGGGATGGGTGTATTGGAGATGGTGCAATTGGCACAGGACAGAGCAGAGTTTAGTGCTGTTGTACATAGGGTCACTATGAGTTGCAAGCCACTCAAGGGCACATAACAACAACAACATGATGCTCAACAGGTTACAGTGGAACTGGGACAGACTAGGAGAAAAGGTCTGAAAATGAGCCCAAGAAAATCCTGTGGATCACAGTATTCTGTTTGTCTTGGGTATGAGCTGCCGTAAGCTAGCATGATGGCAGCTGATGTTTTCAGAAGCATCCCTTTCATTTCACTAATGAGGATGCTGGAGGTCATGTGTGGAGGTGGAGATCTCATGGCACTGGACAAGATGGACTGACACAGTAACTCGGGCAATGGGGATAAGTGTGTCGAAAGTTGTGAGACTGGTTCAGGACAGGGCAGGCTTCAGAGCTGTTTTACATAGCGTCACTGAGTGGCAGATGACTCAATGGCACATAATATTAACAACAAGTAGTGACTTAGTCGTAAAGAATGGCATTGCCAGTGCAAAGCTATGCAGTTCAAATATACCAGCTGTTCTGCATGAGAAAGATGGGCAATCTACTCTCCAGCTGCTCTGCAAGAGAAAGATGGGCAATTTGCTGATTCTGAAAATGCACTGGAGGATTGGTTCCAACCCCACAGTACACAACAACAATACCCTAAGTAAGGAACACATACAGCACAACTGCTAAGCACTTAGCTACTAATCAAAAGGTTGACATTTTGAATCCACAAGCAGAAAGATTTGTCACAACCCACAGGAGAAGGATCTGACAGTATGCTTTCATGAAGATTACATCTTTGGAGACCCTACAGAACAGTTTTACCTTGTCCTAGAGTTGCTGAGGCCAGGAAGGAACTCAAAGACAATGAGTAATATCTTAAATAGTTCTATGTGATCCATTCTTGGTCCAGTGATAAATGTGGATCTCCTGCATGTGGCCTTGGTTGGGTTAAGTAACTAAACCTACCTCCTCTACCATTTTCACAGAGGTAACTCACTACAGTGACATACGCCCACTCACAGTGACTCCATGTCTGGGTGAGTTATTATTCCTTGCTCTCTATCATGATCCATCTCACATACTTTCTGTATGTGGCCAGGAGGGACCAATCCTCGAAGAAAGACTTCATGCTTGAAAGGGTTGAGGGACAGTGCAGTAGGGGAAGACTCAGATGAGATGGATTGACATGGTAACTGGGGCAATGGGGATCAGTGTGTTGGAGTTAATATGATTAGCTCAGGATAGAGCTAGCTCTGAAGCTATTATACATAGGGTTGCTATTAATCATGAGTGACTCCATGGCACATAATAACAACAATTGACGGTTAAGTTAATTCTTATTATGTCTCAGGTTGTTTCAAATTGTTTTAATGACATTGGAGAATGTTCAAAGCTAAGCTAAGGTAAAATGACTTAAACATGAAACATGACTATGTCTCATCTTAACTTACTTCACATTGGAGAATAAGAGTTGAACGGCGACTACCGTGGAATGGGCACTGAAGGTAAGAAAGGGGAATTTAAGCTCTGGCCACCATCCTACCACTTTTAGATCTTAGAGGAGCTTCTTCTCCTCCTGGACCTTGGGTCCCTTCCATACTGTTTATTGCTTTCAAGTCAATTCTGACTCATAGTGACCCTATACTATAGTTAAAGAATTGACCATAGGGTTTCCCAGTCAAAGACCTTTATGAAAGCAGGTGAAATACCTCTCTTCTGTGGAGCTGCTGGTAGGTTGGAACCACTAACTTGTCTACCTATCAAGCTCCTAACTGCTGTGCCACCAAGGATCATTCTTCTATCTCTGTCTATATTCCTTGTAAAAGTTAATAATAGAGCCAGTCACAAACACTTAATTGTTTTTATGTGCTGACAAGTCAGAACCAGCTGATAGCTGACGCTCCTGTGGGTTTTCATAGGTTGTAAAGTACACAGGACGAGATTGTCCATCTCTCTTCCATAGAGCATCTGTTGAACTCGAATGGCCTGCCTTTAGGTTGGCAGCACAACTTCATCCTACGAGGTCACCAGAACCCTCTCATAAACACTTAAATTTCTTAGAAACCTTCTCAACCTGACTTTCACTATGCTCATGTGGACACCAAACCCAAGGACCAAAGCTGTGATCCACACCAAAGCAAATCCATGTACATCCAATCCTCCAGCCCTCAACTCCCACACAGCACTTTACTGGTAATCTAAAACCCATTTCTTATGCTTTTAGGAACAGCCTGAGGAAAATATCAGTCTAGGATTATTTGATTGTCATGAGAAAAGCCAAACGTAAAATCTAACCTTTATCACAAATTCATAGTTGGCCAGAAACCTAACAGAATAATCTGTATACAAATAAATATTTATTAGAAATCTGTTGTTGGTGCTATTTTCAGCATGAGTGAGGAGTTAGGGTTCTGAACAAGCACACAGATGATGAGTACATCAGTAATATCGACAGTCATCATGGTATAGTTAGCAGGGGTTAGAAAATGATGTTGCCTATTGTTAAGATGATGTGTCCAAAAAGGGACTTTCATGCTTGAGAACTGGAGGAGAAGAAGCCATGCTTGCATGGAAAAATTGGGATAGGAGAGGAAACAAAGTGCACAAAGGCAGGGTACATGGTAAGCAGGGTGAAGAACAAAAGAAGGTTGATTGAAAATGCATCTGTCAGTAACGACCATCCTCAAGTGTTGAGGAAACATAGGCAGAAGATAGCCACAGCATTTCAGGAAGGGGTGGCCCCACAAATCAGGCAATGAGGGGGCTAAATCAGAGGAGCAGAGGTGCTTGGAAGGACTGACCCACCTCATCTGGGTGTGAAACATGGATTTCACTGCCTCATGACTGAAAGAAAAAACAGACACCCGACAGAAATCATTACAACTGTGTGATTGAGTATGACTGGGAGCATGCTCAGCATTCTGAAGTAAGTAACTCAGCCTTTTGTGTCACAGCAATCTTTATCCTAGAACCTTCTAGCTGGACTTAGGTGACTACATAGGCTAGTAGTGTAGAAAGTGAACTGTATTTGGAGCCAGAAGCTCCTTGTTGGGGTTCAAGAATACTCAGGCCTGAAAAAGTTTTTTCACCTTCTGAGTTTCAGTATTCTCAACTGTAAATTGATAATAAGACTGTCTTGAGAAAACACAGTTAAAATTAGAATGTTAAAATACGTATGGGATGCTATTAATAGCTTACCCGTGGGAAAGCTTAAACATTGCCTAAACATTTAGAAAGACTAAACACTGCCTCTTCTGATACTCTTCTAAGGGTAAGTTTGAAATGTGTACTATGTGAAGAAGAGTAATAAATATCCCATGGATTACCAAAAGTACAAGTATTGTTGGAGGAAGTGCAACCAGGGTAAAGACAGTGAAACTTGGTCTTATATACATGTTGTCAGGAAGGGCTAGTCCTTGGAAAAGAACATTATACTGGGAAAGGTAGAGAGTCACAGAAAGAGAGGAACACCCTTAAACAAGGCAGTTTTGACACGGTAGCCATAACAATGGATTTGAGCATGTTGGAGTTTGTGAAGATGGTACAGGATAGTACAAGATTCAGATCTGCTTAGTGCAACAATGAATGAGTGGAAGCCCAAAATCTCTGTAAATGTTTATGAAAATTAATAAAATATAATTATAGAAAAAAAAAAGATTCAGATCTGCTGATCATAGGGTCACTATGAGTGTTAGTCACCTCAATGGCACCTAATAACAACAACTCTTATTATGTTGTTTTTGTTATGTGTATGAGACTGGCTCAGTCACACATGTGGAAACAAAACTAGCTGCCATTAAGTAGGCTCCAACTCATGGACATTCAGTTGTCTCAGCATCTTTAATGCTGTGCCCTTCATAACACAGATTTCTAGGCCTTTGTCCTGAGATGATTCTGGATGGACTTCAGAAGAATGAAAAACCACCAGCCTTTTTATCAGTAGTAAAGCAATTTTTATCCCATTGCTTTCTAGTTGGGCTCCTGAGAGAAAACACAGCCTGCTAGAGTGAAAAGTGAGGGGTTTGTTTACTAACAAAGGACTCCAGGTCACATAAATCACAGGTGAAAATTGTCAAGGTGCAAAGCAAATTCCTGTGAGACGTTCTACTTGCCAGTTGTCAAGAAGCTCATGTAGATGCTCCAAATTAGTAGGCACAAAAGCCAGAGTAGAGAACAGAGAGCTGAAGGACATTCCCTGGTTCTTGTGGTTGTCAGATGTCGTAACAAGCAGTCCTGGGTCACCACCACTTAAGAAGATGCACCTAAATAACGTTCCCCTTATACACCTGAATTGTATTTTTTCTGGCAATGGGGCTAATCCAGACAATAAGTTCTTTTAAGAGGATTCCATGTGGCCCAAGCCAATGAAGTAGAAACACTGGGAAGATTACTATGTGTATCCAAAACAAACTTGTCCATATTGGGAGATTTCCTGTTGCTGGATGCCATTAAGATAATTCTGACTCTTGTTGTTGTTGTTATGTGCCGTCGAGTCGTTT